CCCCTCCCTTCGCCCCGCCCCCATCCCGGACTACCTGGACTACGTGGAGACTCGGGAACTTCAGTCTCTGAATCTCTCATGCACCACTTTCGTGCCCAATCAACGCAAACTAGTTCTTCAAAAGTAACAGTAGAACACATAAGTATTTAAAGAATTATTCAGCTCACTCAGTTTGGACCGCTTTTTCCTCCGGGCTTTGCATTCCATCGGTCGGTTCCGTTTCGTTCTCCTCCATTTCCATAGTAAAAGCACCGCTTACGGCGGGCAGTACTTCGGATAAATCGAATAGCCGTATTATTTCACTCGTTTGACATCCAACTGTCCGTCGCTTTCTTTTTCCAAATCCATTCACTGGCTGAATTAATAAAATCAAATTTCTTTTGAAAAGATAATTGGTCGAGAAGAACACACTGGAATTCCCACGTTGACTGTCGAGCTATCGAACGCCAGGAGTCGAGAAATCAAAAATTTATCCCCTATTCACTTTTTGTGGAGAGAAGCTGGCAATCGGAATAATTTGCCGAAAGCTGCCGATAAGCTCTCGACGTTTTCCTGTCCAGAGCTACTTTAGAAGCAAGCTGATGGTGGGTTTGACTCCTTGTGCATGCGCCAGTACCAATTTTGATATCCCTGGCATTATTTGGCTCATTTTCAATATCAATTCAAACGTTAACAGGCTGAGCACCAATCTCAAAAGGCTAGAAATTAATGTAGACCACTCTCGACTATTTCCTCAGCACCAGAATTTTTCACCAAAAAAAAAAAAAGAAAAAAACAAAAAAAAAACAAACTCGCCCCCTTCTCAAGCTAAATTCACCATGGGAGGCGATGCACACGAAAGTTGCCCAACTAGTATGGAAAAAAAGCAATCTTCCGCTAGCAAAACTGTCGATATTTTTCAATTTTAGAGTTTTTCAAAGCAAGCTTAAGTCCTCCTCCTGTCATGTGTCAGTATTACAGAAAAGAAAAACCAAAATAACTTGCTCAAATAAAAGTTATCAAGCCAGAGAGTAATGTTACACTGCCTAAATTTAAAATTGATTCTCTAAGTTTAACAGTAAAAACTCTGTTAATACGATAAGTTATTCCTCAAAAAGAGTACACCACCCGGATAAACACTGACGGTGGACCGAGACACAACGCAAACCTGGAGGCTGAATTTGAAACCTTTAAGTTGTATTTGGTAAGATCCACGTGTACCGCAGAAAAAATAATTTCGCTTCAAAAACATACTTCATCCCATACAATTAATGGTAGCTGTTTGTTATCCGAATTTGTGGTACAATCCAATTTTGCGCTAGATTCCGAAATGTCTAGAGAAGCCACATCTGTTGGCAGCAATTCTTCGCTTTCCGCTGATTCTTCTTCCGTCACTTTCGGATATTCCAGCAATGGGCAATACCATATGCCACTAGGCACTGAAAATTTTCCAAGATTTAAATTAGGAATTTCAAAAGCTTTTAATTTCCCCTCCCTCCCCTCCCTGCTCCGCCCTTTGCGAGTTCGAATTACCCTCGTGCAAAGTGTTTTGGAAATTTTTAAAAAAATGTAAATTATGAAATTTTGTTTGGCACTGTAGGCCAGCCGATGAGAGAGACATAGTCGAATACTGTCAGCTGTGGGAAAGCAAGGAGTGCTAATTCAGATGCCCAGACAAGCGAGCCTTTATATGCATTAGCTGTTGTCCTATCTGTGTTTCATCTCCGAATTGTAAACACAGACGCCAGAGTCGGTGCGGAATAGGGTGGGAATCATTAGTACAGTGCCCCACTCCGACATGTTTGAACGAATATATGACTCTGATTCAGAAAATTTTAGTTTTAGCTCTAGCAATCGTGAATAGCTTGAGAGGAAAAAGTAAAAAGAATTTTCAGGAACAGAGGAAAATTGAAGGATATATACCGCACGAACAGACCGCGATGCCGGGTGGAATATTGAGGGACTAGGCAAAGAAAGGATGGAGATAGAACCAAAAAAATAAGGATGAACATACAGCGAAATAGCAAAAGAGAAAAGTGACGTAGAAACTGGAAAGATAAAGCAGGAGAATATACGATGGAATAAATAAAGTACAAAATAATTAAAAAATAAAAATAAAAATTCCACAGGGAATGCGCGTTTTCCACTCCATTTCGCAGCGATTTTGCCGTCTGTGTTTACAGCTTAGAGATGTAACACAGGGAGGTTACCAGGCCGCTGCTCACTGGATTTTGGCTAAAATTTCGGTAATCTTCAGACCCATTCCCCATAAATGCGGGTTGCGATTTTTTTACTTTACCACACGCAGGTGGTCCACCACATAACGGAAAATTTGCACTGCAAAATTATTAGCGATCATTTCATAATTAAACACTAAAGGTGGCCCATTATATCAGAGCTAGCACAGCCATTCGCAGGAACATTTTTGACCTGATGAAATAGTAGCACAGAAGGATTAGACTTAAGTGTCATGTGTAAGAAGACATTTTACGCGATGCAGTCTGTCTGTGTTTTATCCCTTAGCTGTAAACACTGACCGAACTTTGCACGCGAGTGGGAGCGGGGATCACCGGTACAGCCTCCTACCTGCTGCCATGTGCTGAGCAGTCATGTAACTAATTTGCAAGACGGATATGCGAAAGAAAGAGAAAGCAGAGAGAGAAAGCAAACAGAAAATGCATCCGATGAAATGGATATACGTTTCTTCGATAACATTATACATTGCATTTCACTAAAGTTACCGATTTCGATACTACGTGGGGTATGACTCCCCATTTTGCTGAGAGTCTACAAAAATTATAAAGGATTTACCTTTGTCCGAAACACTTGACATCGAGGTCTCAGCAACATCATCACCATCATCACTTTCGGTAAACAACGGCGGATTAATCCTAAGGAAAAATTATATTTTAAAAAAAACCCAATTTTCTGTGTAAAAGATTATATTTTAAAAAAAATCATTTTTCTATGTGAGCAATTTGAACTTTATTTTGAAAAAATCTCAAATGATCAAGGGGAAAACTAGTCAAAGGACTAAGAGCGGAAAGTGCCAAAATTACTGATAAATTCTAAATTACACCACAAAAAAAAGCCAAGAAAAATCCTAAAATCTTAATTTTCAGTATCGAGACGGTAAAAGGACCGATGCGGGTACCAGTGAGCAAAGTGTGCCTTAATGCAAAAAAACCCCCATATTCGACAAAAAAAATCCCTATATTCGGCCAGAAAAAAAAAAACCGACATTTTAGGAAATGCGATAACCAGTAAGTAGCGATTTCTGGTGAGAAAAAACGCGCACAAACACATCAAAATGGAGAAGGAATAAAGAATATTTAAATGAATTCAACAAATTACCTCAA